CACCAGTTTTTATATGAATCAAGTGTATATATGTATAATTCAACGGAATCATACACTATATATAATTTATTTGGCTATTATTTTTAGAATTTTTTTGTTTTTCCAAAAGAAAAGAAAAATAAAAAATCACCACCATTGGGTCATTATCAAATCAGTCATGTTCTAAAAATATAGTTCCCATTTTATTTCTTTATCTTCCGATTAAGCTAATTTCCAAAAAATAAAAAAAGAAAAAAATAGCACGTCTGCTTTGAAAAAATAAAAATTGCTTTAGAAAAAAAATAAAATTATTTTAAAAAGTCACTGTAAACCCAATGGCATTCTAGAAATAATTTTTTTTTTTTTTTTTAAGAAAGAAAAGGTTATCTCATACTCTTCAATATCTTTAAAAAGAGTATTATGATGTGTAATTTAGCAGTAATATACAAAATATTGTTCAATAACAACATGATAGTTAACATTTCCTTTTGTTTTAATGGTTTTGCCATTCGTACTAGAATTAGTATAATAATAATAATAAATCACTTGCAAGTCTCTCCTTTGATTCAAACTGTAATTGATAACATGGAAAGAATATCCATTAATCATTTAAGCACAGCAAGGGGATAAAACAATAGATTATTAATTTGCATGCAAATTGAATTGGTCCAAAATTTGACTTTGATAAATAGACTATCAATTCAAAGGTGCATGCATACTGGCAAATGGAAGAAACTTGATGTGGATCACTCACCCAAAAGATTTGAAAAACGATGATAACAAACTGTTTATTCTTCAGGGAAACAGTGAATATTTGATTCCTCTTTCGAATTTTGGACCTGTGAGATTTTTTTTTTTTTTGAAATATGGCTCTTTTAAAAATTAATTTCTAAAATAAGATAGTTTTAAATTTAACATTCAAAATAAAGCACTTTTTACCGTGTAATATTTAATTATTCATGTCATATTTCGTATTCACCAAAAAAATAAAAAATAAAAGAAAAGAAAAAAAGAGTGAAGAGTAATATTCTCTCTAACATCCACGCCTATAAAGACAAAGATGAATGCAAATATGGCAGATTTCTAGGTAAATAAATACAAGATTTTTTTATTTTTTCTGAAGAGAAATGATATCTACTGTTTGTTTCAAGTTTATAAGTTACTCAAAACTAAAAGAATTCATTTATAGTTTACCCAAATCACAATCCCGCTTCCTTCTTATCTCCTTTCAGTCCTTTGTTGTCCCATGTCTCTTTCCTTCTGTCTCAACAATCATCGTCGACACATCCTCCTAAACTTAAAATTTCTTCCCTTACCTTGTACTCGACTTCTGAAGTCAAGGACGAAACATAAAAATAGTATATACTACTACACTTACAAAATTAAGGATTTTGAAGCCATGTAGAAAAATGGGAAGCAATTGCTGAGGGGAGTCATTGGTTCTGCTTTCTTTACTATTGATGCCTTGCAGCCTTAAAATCGCATGCCTTTGCTTAGTCAGATTAGGACAGGTCTGTTTTGAGTTGAAATAATTCGATTACTCAATTACTTAATCAATTCGTTTAAGTTTCAGTTTACTTTTATACCTTAAAAACTCAGATCTTTTCAAAGCATAAGTTGGTTCTCATAGTTATTAATTTTTTTATTTTTTTAATCCGGTTTTGCTCGTACGAAAGCAGTTGATTCGAGGATTGGTCAATAGGGTTATGACAGAATTGAGAAAAACTCCAGTAGTTTTAATATTTTAAATTTCTTCTTGAAAAAAAACTTGTTTTTATTTACCTAAAAATCTTGCGTAGTTGCACTTAGCGTTGTCATTATAGATGTGGATGTGAGAGAGTATTAGTTTTCAATCTATTTTTTATTTATTTATTGATATTTTATTAGTAAACATGAAAAATATGATATGAACAATGGTAAAAAGTGCTTTATTTTGAATATTAAGTTTAAAACTACTTTTTTTTGGAACTTAAATTTTAAAAATACCCTACTTGTAAGAGAGAGAAAATTCAGAACTATGGTATGAAAAAATTTAAAATATTAAAAAAATAACAATTAATATTTATTTCATAGATATAATTTAGAAAAAGGAACAAATACAAAATAATAAATAAATAAAAATAAAAATATTTTTACTTTGTTATTTTTTTAAAATTTTTTTTTTATATCTATCTATTATCTTATAAAGTAAAAATTGATAGTTATCTTTTAAATATTATAAAATTTCTTTTTGTTGTACTATGTTTCATGTAACATTTGACAATCCCACGTGGGGCGATGATGATGTGCATCTATAACGAGAAGCTTAAACGAAAGGTAAAAACAAATTAGTTCTTCCAAGGGCACGTTTCAATGATTACAAATTGAGATTTTTCCCATGAAAAAAATAGATAGAGATCTAAAAATTGAAGGTATGTGGCCCAAGACCAGGTAGAGTGCTGAAAAAACGAAACATCACAATACAACCTTCCAATAATGCATCCTTTAAGCTTTCACTCGAGCTTTATTCCTTTCAGATACAGATGACAGTAAGTTTTTTTCTCCCTCTCGCTGTTTAAAACAGAAAGCTTCCTTCCACATGCCATGTAATACATTAATCACTAGTTTCATTATTGGTGCTTTAAGCTTTAAGGTCTTTTACCACCCTTCACGATCCATAATTATCAGGTGTAAAACAGGAACTAAAAGGAAAAATTTATATCCCAATTGCTTATTGATCCGTAAAGAAACCAGGAAAGATGCAGTAGGATCAATGCTGAACTTTCTTCAGGATGCTGCTTCAATCAATGGAAATATAGAATATTAGGTTGCACTAAGTGAAGTCCGAATTAGTTGAGAGAATGAATCGCTAGTGGCACACATCATCTACTTCATTTATTAGATTATCTTGTGCTTGGCATTGGAAAGTCAAGTTGTGTTGATTTAGTTATGACTAGACATAATTCACAAGGCCTTTCTTTTTTATGCATTGCCCATTACCAAAATATAGGCTTTATAGACCAGTGGGGAATACCTGCTTCATTCCAATAGTAGAGCTTTCTCATGGTGTTTCTCAAATCATTTGTACTTTCTTTTTGGTATAAAAACAGGGTTGACTTATTTAGAGGTCCTCAATAGAATCCAATGCTTTTGCCTGTCCTAAAAGATGCAGTAGTTTTGATGCTTTCTTTGAAGAAAAAGAAACATTAAAGATGACCAAAATCCCAATAAATCATGAACTATCTATAGGCTTTATGAGCTAGAAAAGGCCACAATGTCCAGTCTTAGCATCCCATGATTCTGATTCGCCTGCTTCTTTGTATGGCACCAGAAGATAACACAAAAATCTGGACAATATCAATTATCAAGCATGTCAAAAAATAAAGCTATGTCTCCCTCCCGCTAAGAACCACACATGGATACAGGGTTTCAAGGACACTGATAATTTTTTAGTATTCCAGTGTCAGATGTTATTACTTATCATTTAACAGTTTGTGTATATCAGGGCCCTATCATCATCATCCCTTTTTTCGTCATTGGATCATTGCTCTTTACTTTCATTATTTGAAGAATCTAACAAACAATATCCCAGAAATGCTTTAATGTTGAGGATGTCACAAAATTAGGAAGTAGAATGATCAGAGCCAAGGGACTTATTCGTTTGGTCACTTCTGATTAAAATTATTTTACGGCACTTTAGATATAATTCCCGGGAAAAAAAGAACTAACTGTCTTCAAAAATCTGCAGAAATGTTGCTGAAATCTTAAAACGGCATACGACTACTAATGCTTTTTGTTTCAAAATATCCGTTCCTAATCAGTTTCATGTATAATATCTTATTTGTTTACCTAATCGTTAATAGCCCTCGAGAGCTCGATTATCCAGGAATATCTGGTTATCCGGATGTGTTAAAAAAAGTGACTCCTGCTAAGTCAAGTCGAAAATCCTAGACCTAGATGGGTCTTGATAATAATTTAGAACATTACACATTATAAAATTGCAAGGCAATTCTGATCACATGATTATGAGTGATAGTATTTTTACTACTTATATTTATTCTTTTGAGGGAAATTATTACACAGATTTTGTCCACCACTTAAACTTGTGGATCAAACCAATAAAACGATACAAATTAATTAAATTTATTTAAACTAGATTATATTTAGAATGTGAATGTTTTCCTATTTAATAGCACATTATGAAATATTTAATAATGTATTCCGGATAAATTTAATTACGTGTAAAACTTTTTGTGGTTTGGTTCCTTATGATCATTTTTTATTAATGGACGACACAAAGTAATACAGCAAGTCTGCATTAATTGCCCTGGTCATCAATGAGCCTCAACGGTACAGCATGTTTTGAAACTTTAGGTGAGAATTAAGTGACAGACAGGAAATTAATGGAATAATATATGATAGCTACACTACACAGATGATTTTATATGTTTATCAAATAACAAATGATTTTAGAGCAGAGGAAATTAAATCATATTAACTGCTTGCACAACGTAAGAACATCAATTTCTAATATTCCGTGAAAGTATCAGCTTTATTGGTAAAATTATTTGAGGTCACGCCGGGAAATAGATAGCCTTTAGGAGATTAATTTATACTTACATACGGCGGACTGAGTAAAAGAGGAGTTATCAATTAAAAGAAGTATAAATGATTCTTTCAATTTGGATTATTATGTGTTGTCCCAGCTACACACTTCCCTAAAGAAACAAATCGCTTTCCCGTTAAGACCTAGTAAAACGCTTTGGATACCATATGATTATTCGCTAATGTCTATGGCATGACATCCAAAGTCTATACGCCAATCAATGAACCAGTCCGGCTTCCGCTAGATGATGGCAAGGGCTAATGGATGATTAAGGCACATAAAATTACGTCAAATATAAAAATCCATAACTAACTAACAAAATAACCCCCACAGCATTTGTCATATACTGTACTTTCTCTCTCAATCAAAAACCCAATATAATAACACTTGTAGCAGAAGTCCAGTTCCATCTTGCCCCTTGTTTCCAAGTATAGCAATGGCTAGCTCAAATTCAATTACCGATGTCTCCCCTAAATTTCAGCTGCCTACCAGCCGCTCAATCATGGCAGAAGCAAAGGCAGCTAGGCCTGCCCGAGAATGGTTGGCTACCCATAACGTTGCTCTATCTAATTTCCAGAAGGTGGTCTAAAATCTCATTACATAATGGAAAACTGGAGACATCTTTTTTTACCATTACAACCATGGTTAATTAGTTCTTACCTCGTACTAACAAACATGTTCTTTTTTTTTCCCTCTTCTTTTTTTCTTTTTAAAAGTAGATTGTTGCAGAGTTGGTGGGTACATACATTCTTGTATTTGTGGGCTGTGGGGCTGCTCTGACTAACAAAATTCAAAGACTAAATATAGTAGGTATAGCAATTGTGTGGGGTGCAGTTCTGACGGCAGATATTTATGCACTTGGTCATATCTCTGGAGCACATTTCAATCCTGCAGTTAGCATTGCCTTGGCTGTTGCCCGCAAATTTTCTTGGAAACATGTGAGACATTATGATTAAGCCAGCCCTTGTGCTTATAATGCATATGTAAGTTGATCTGTATAGAATTTATCTGAATCACATGGCATTGTCCATGTAGGTACCCATGTATATTTTGGCTCAGGTCCTCGGATCAACGCTTGCGAGCCTCACTCTTAGACTGTTGTTCCATGACCAAGGAAACATTCAACCTATATTGAATCAGTACTCAGATTCAACCAGTGATCTTGAAGCTACTGTGTGGGAATTTATAATTACATTTATCCTAATGTTCTTTATTTGCGGCGTAGCTACAGATCATCGAGCGGTATGGTCTACTTTACACCTGTTGCTTTCTTTAAAAATCTTTTATACTAGCGGAAGAAAAATGGCACTCAAAAATCGATGTGACATGTTCTATTTGTTTGTGTATTTACCCCTTTCACTTTGTTTCATTTCAAGCAACTCAATTATAAAAAGTTCAGCTTAAGGCACTGATTCTCCATATTATTGACTCGATAAAACAGAGCAAAGACCTTTCTGGAGTTGCAATAGGAGGTGCAGTAATGTTCAACGTCATGATTGCTGGGTAAAAAAACTCCCTTACTAGTGTAGTAACTTCTTGTGTATAAAGCTAGGCCGCCATGGCCATGACCATCACCAACACCACTTAAGTACACTTCTGTTGTAACTCAGTTCTGTTTGCTTACAAGTGATCTGAAACGTTCCTTTACTAAATTCTCAGGCCAATCACTGGAGCTTCGATGAACCCCGCAAGAAGTTTAGGCCCTGCTCTTGTCTCGGGTGTTTACAAGAATCTCTGGGTCTATATCATATCCCCAATTCTCGGAGCAACGACAGCAGCCATAGTATACTCTGTACTTCGGGTACCCGAGCCTGCTAAACCTGACGAGACAAACAGGCCCTCAGACAATAATCTCTATTTGCATGCTGATCCATAGACAAATATGCCCACTGGTTTCATCTGAGACTGTTGCAACATTATTTTGGACAATCACTTGATCATGCCTGAAAACGTCTTAAGGATTTATTCTGAAGGCCAGAATTTAAGAAATGAATAGTGCGTACTGGACTGTATTGTTTACGGCAAATGAAGGATAGGTGACCTGTAAAATTGTAATTTACTCTAATATTGTAAAATTTTACAATTGCGATAAAAGAGTGGTCAATAAGCTATTGTCTCAGGTTCACCGTTCTTTTACTGCAATATTGTATTATACTAACATGTAAAATATTACAAATGCTATACAAGAATGGTGAGCCTGTAAAATCCAGGATCGATAACCGTTTAAATGCCGTAGTCCAACTTATCCGCTCTATCAAATAATGTACAACTAGTTTCTAGTTCCACCATACTCCTTCCCCAACAGTCAGTAGCCAGCAGAGTATAACACCGCATTCTATTTTTAGCTATACTTTGAATATGCCTCCTGGTAACAATTTCAAAACAAAAAAGCTAAGCTGGCCAACATTTCACATCAACACTATAGGAGCCCAGGAATAAGCAATCTTTCAAGGGAAATGAGAGTAAAGATGACAAACTTGAATTACAGTAAATTATCTTCCTAGTCAAGTAAGAAAGCGCAAACCTTGGTTTCTTAGAGAACGACATACCCCTACCAGCACTCTCATCCTTCGCATATAAATACTATACAGCAGATCTATGTATATGGTACAGCAAAGTACAGAAAAGGAGATAGAAAAGATGGGCTGCCTGAATCATTTTGGTATATCATACAGATTGGAGGTCCAACCACCGATCATATTAGAATGGTGAGAACATTGGTAGATGAAGATATAGAAGGGACTCTGGTTTATCAACAAACTGACTCGTAAGATTAAGCATCATTGTGTTCTCCACCTCCCTGCTTCCTTCTTGCCATGAATATATCTTTTACCTGTCAACAAGGGAAAGGTTTAGAGTTGAGAACAATCAAAACAACTTATGTCAGCAGATCACCATGAGCTTCAGAGTCTCCACTTTACATTCACTTGTTGACCTCGATATAGTTACCTAGTACGTTCTACATGAGAGCAGCTGTAAATTTACTATCATTGAGATTCTTTGGTTAATTTCTTTGGACCATGAATATTAAATCATTTGGAAAAAGAAGCATTCACACTATTTGCGAACTATCAGCTCTAATAAGATTTGGAAACATAATGGACATTTTTTGTTCTTGCCAAATACTTCATTAAGTGCTTACCCAGTTTGAGATAGCCTCCTCCAATTGATTATCTGGGGAGATTGTGGATGCCTCTGCAAGTAAGAAGAAGTTGCTCCAATTCCATTTTCATCACCAACAAACTGCTCCGAGTAACTAGCAGTTGGAGGGGACCAAACTGGAACTATACCTCCATCCCTCTCTCTCCTAGTACTACTTGAAGATTCTGCTGTCGAGTCTTCAACATTTGCCAGACCTCTCAAGACATTAAATGGTGGCAAAATGTTGTTATTACGAACAGTTTGGACAAACCCCTGGTTCAAAGTGTCTCTTCTTGGTTCTTGATTCACATTTACATCTCTCGGTACCTCTGCTCTTCCGCCTCCGATAGAATTGTGAACATCTGAAAGAGTTTCTTCGTCTTCAATTCTCAGAAAAGAAGAGGTCATGCTTGGGACCATCTGATCCTCGTAGCGACGATTTGTAGCAGGAGGATTGTTTCTCACAGGCTCTTGGTTTTCCTCCATATATATGTCTTGAGGGAAGGCAATTGGAGCTGATTCAGAGGAGTCTCCAAGACCTTCCTCAGTTCCATTCTCAATTGCAGCTCTTGAAGCAGCTTCTTGCTGCCACATTTCTGAAAGTGCTTCTTCCAACCTGAGTTTTGCTGCATCTATCCCTATAATAGGGAGCGGGTAATTTGATCCCAGCTCAATTCCGGCTGCTTGGAGTACAGATTCAGGTGCATTCCATGGGTGGTGTATCCATTCAGTTGGTAGCCTTGCAAGTTCAGGAAGCCACCGGCGTACATATTCTCCATTCGGATCGAATTTGTAACCCTCAAACTGTGGAAAACCAATAACTAATTGAGACATTTTTCCAAACAGCCCAGTTTAAGAAAAGTGGAGTAGGAGACATGCATAAAGTAAACTGTAAAATAATTATTGCATAAATTAGTCATGCAACACAGAAAGGCGGCATAAAAGAATTACAATGTCTCATCCGCACCTGTGGATTATCTATGCGATCAAACTCACGGCCATCTGGGAGAGTGCCAGTAATGTATTGCCAACCAAGAGCATCACTCTCTAAATCTGCATCCAATAAGGTATCCCAAAAATACTTCATTCCCCATCTCCATGGAAGTTGTAGAACCTTCACAAAGAAACTAGCAACTACCACACGTATACGGTCGTGCAGCCAACCAGTGGCCCACAATTCTCTCATTCCAGCATCAACTAATGGATAACCTGTTCTACCTTGTCTCCATGCCTTAAAATAGCCTTCATCCACAATCCAAGGGAAAAACTTGAGGTGCCCAAGAAGAGGCCTTTCATGACTGTAGGGATGGTTGAAACTCAAGTATCTTGAATATTCTCTGAGACCAATTGACTTGAGAAACAAGTTTACACTCTCTTCGCCAGCCTTGTTCCCTTCATTTGCCCACAGAACCTGCTTTATGCGAACAAGATGGAAAACTTTTCTCACACTCACCTCCCCGAAATGCAAGTGCGGAGAGAGAAACGAGGTCGTAGCACTATCAGCCTTTCTACGATTCTTAGAGTACTCAATTAGTGGTCCATTAATGAAAGTGGTCAGAGCCCTATCAGCATTGCTCCATCCAGGTGACCATGCTCTGGCAAGAAGTGCATTGCTTCCTTTCTCCGATTCATCTTCAAACACCAGCATGTCTGCAGGGCATCGAGATACATCACCTGAAAGAATGCAATAAATGGGTCAAAGCAGATTGTAGAGGCCAAAATTTACCTTCCAGCACAAAAAAAATACAGAATTATCCGGTAGAAGAAGCAAGCTTCAGATAATATATAGAGAGAAGTTAAAAAACAGAGAACATAGAGTTGAAGACTTTGAATAGGATTGCTGTTATCATTCTGATATCAAATTTTTGTTATGTTCACAGATGGGAGGTGAGGTGGCAAGCGCTGTATACAAATGCCAACCTTCCTAGAACCCCAGTTTTAGAGCGCTCCAAATCACAGTATGTCTTTCAAAACTGGCATTTATATATATATTTTTTTCTCTTGAGGACCATATAATTAAATAACATGTAGCATGAGTGCTTGCATTTTCTTCCTGTTTTATTATTATTATTTTTTTTAATGTTTTAAATTTTCAACAAGGTATTCTCTTAAATCGTTAACACAAACACAGGGCACTGATTTTCCAAAAGAAAGGATTGGAAGAAGAAAAACCTGAAATAATCCTCTTAGGCGGCAGAAGAGGAGCCTCTGGATCAAAAGGCATGCTGAGGCATCTTTCCCAGAAAGTAGTAAAGGTTGTGAAAGGGCAGCCTTGGGCATCATTAACATCCCATGGTTCATAAAGCAAATCCGCATTAAAAGATCTTACAGCAATACCTTGAGCAGTCAAAACCTCCTTCGCCCGGTGATCCCTAACCAGTGACAAGGGATCTAAAAAACAATAAATTGAAAGTAAATGATGAATTGGCACCAAATATTGAAATGAGAAACGATAAATTGTCACTTAATGCACCGGGAATTTCCACCTTATGTTGGAATGAGAGATAGATTAGCAAATGATGAATTGGCACCATACGCTGGAATGAAGAGAAGTAAATTACAACTTAATGTAGTGGATGCATGAGTCACAAACTGAAGAAAGACTTGCTTTAACAAAACTAGATCAGCAAAGGCTCTTCCTACTGAATTGATTTGAATAACAGCATACTGTGGCAAGTTTAAAAAAGAAACTGACCAATCTAAATAAGAGTAACAAGGGAGAAATCATATACAAACTGCTAAAAAGAAAATGTACATGGTAAAATCACATAGCTTTGCTCACCATTGAAGCAATTACTCAATAATCAACGAGCCAATGAGAAAACAAAAGTAAAATCACAAGTTTAACAAATCCATCACAAGTGACTATTCCAATTCACACAAACTTCAAGCAACAATCATGGAATAATTTATCAATTGCAACACAACAATCCAAAATCCCAATTATATTAGGAAACTTTAAAAAAGAGAAAGGAAAAGAAGAAAAAGATCAAAACCCAACAAAGATTTCGTAAGAAAATATTAGATTATGAAGAGTGGATCAAACCACATGATCCTCAAACCCGATGCAACAAGAAAGTAATAATTTAAAAGGAAGTCTAACAAGATAAGGAAAAGATAAATAGAGACCAACCATATAAGTGGTTAAAGAAGAGCTGAGTAGCACCAGTAGATTTGATAACCTCAAGAAGAGTAGAAACACTATCAGTTGATCTCTTAGTAACAAGAGAAGTACCAAGACTCCTTAAAGAAGAGTCAAGATGAGCCAAACTTTGTTTAAGCCACCACCTTGAGACCCTACCAGGATAATAATGGCCTTCCTCTTCAGGTGCCCATACAAACAGTGCAACAACAGCACCTGCTCTTACACCAGCTGCAAGGGCTGGATTATCTTCTACCCTTAGATCTCTCCTGAACCAAACTATACTACACCCACCACCTGACATCTCTCCAACCTAAAATAAAAATTAAAATAAAACAACACGCCGAGACAGTAGCAAAAAAATAGTCACTTTCTCTCTCTCTCCCTCTCTCTCTCCCTCTGTCTCTCTTTGCTGTATCAGTTACCATATGCCATACCTATCTTTTCCTGCTTTGCTAGCTTTCTTTAGAGGCTCACCCAGGAATTGTAGTTGATCCTTTCTGCGTATGGGTTATCCTTTTTTGATGCTATGAGAGGGGAGATAGTTTTTCTAGACCATAAGCATTGAAAAGTGCAAGTGATTTTGGAAGGTGGATGATAGATTTTGCACTTATCTTTTGTTTGATTACATTCATTTATCTTTTGTTATTACTATTTTCTGCTCCCATATTATTGGGTGATGATAATTCTATGCTTTTTTATTTTTATTATTATTATTATTATTTTGACTAATTGTTGATAATAATTCTGTGCTAGCGAAATGAATTTGGCCTTTTAGTGTCTTATAGCTTAATATTGTTGTTAGAGTACCAAGCGATTGTGTAAAAAGTCCAACCGGTATGTCCATCGTGGAGCCATAAGTTAGTCAAAATGATAAATTTAAAGATAATTAATAAAAAAAGTATTCATACGACTTGTCTGGGTAGCATTGATCATGTAAAAGTTGATGGGTTTGTCTAATTATTTTTTTTTCTGATTAATATATATTTATTTGGATCATTGGTCTAGTGTAAATCATTGTATAATTTAATTTTATAGAAAATTTTTAAAAACTCATTTTTATTCTATGTATTCATTTTGAGAATATGTTTATATATATATATATAACTTAAAATAATAAAATAATTCTCTCACATAATCTTTTTTCTTATTTTTCTATATATATATATATATATATATATATATATAATTAACATAAAATTTCTCAATTTCATGATTGTTTGATCTAGTTGCAACCAAAAAGGCCCTTGCCCCTGGTGGGAAGAGAGAGGGAGAGAGAGGATCTGGTAGGGTGAGTGAATGGGATTGGTTAATAGGAGTGGGGACACAACAAATTGACAGGCAATTTGCAACCACAACTTTTGGTTTCTCGAATTTTATTTTTTTCTCTTATCCTATGCAAGAAAATAAAGCCCACCCACTTCTCTAAGACTCTAAACCTCTCTCTTTGACAGGGTGGAAAATTTGTAAAATAATAAAAGATTGCTTCATTTTTACTGAATAAATAGTGTTACCAATTATTGTTTTCAATAGCAAAGTCATGTGGAAGCTCATGATACAATAGTGGAGAACCCTTGTGGTGAAATGACACATATGTCATTTTCAAGCCTTGTTATTGTTTCATTTAGAAGGGGCACGCTTGGTTTTTAATCTGTTCATTAATTTTTTCCTGCATCTGATTCTTTCTCGAAAATGCTATTTGGGGATTGTATCACAAGAAGTAATTATCTCAACTTGAGATTGTATTTTGGAAGCTTAGATATTGGAGGGGGACAGGACAGCGAGTACGGGGAGAGATAGGTATGCGGACTAGTCGGATTTGGCCTTTTCTCTTGAAGTGGGCCTTTGCTCCTTGCTTTGGGGTTCTTCGTAAAACTCAGATTCCACAATTGTGTCACTGTTAAAAGTGATTTATGATATGGCTCTCTCTTAGTCGTTATTATGAGTAATCAGCCTGTTTGTTTGAGCAGACTGTAGGTCTCTTTTACGATTTACAGAATGATTGCAATTTGATTATTTAATTTTATATTAAAAAATACCCCTCAGAAATTAGTACGAAGATAGTTAATTAAATTCTTTATGAGCTATTTAGTAATCAATGATAGAATAGTGAGAATGAGAATTAAAGTTTTATTTCGACTTTATAATTATTTGGTTAAAAAAAATTAAATGAAAATAAAAATAAAAATTACATACAACTTTATTTTCATTTAAAATGTGATGATAAAAACAAAAAATGAGAATGAGATTTTTCTTTCAAAATAATAATATATTTTATTTTTTTATTAATTACTTCTATCGTCGTCATCACCACTATTAACACAACCACCGCTGCCGCCATTGCCATCGTCGTCATCACCACCACCGTCACCACCATCGCTATTGCAGCAACACTAGCACCACGACCACCAATGTCGTTGCTGCCATCATTACAACAATCATCATCGTCATCACTTTTATTCTTTTTACAACAATTATAATTTAATAAAATTATTTTTTTAATCGTTATTTTTTATTTGTATAAAAAATTAAATATTAAAAAATTTAAATTACATTTCGATTTCTCATTAATATTTTAAACATAATATGAGAATATAAATATCATTTCGATACTTATATTTTCATTCCAAACCTTTCATTCTTATAACTATACAACACTTTGGATTTTGAGTTTGGAAGTTAAACTGTTTTGGAGTTCACTATCTAACTTTCTTTTATTTTTTTTGTTACTTTTTTTCTTAATTGAGACACGTACAAAGAAAACTAAAAAAAAATCGTCAAACAATGCCTCTGGAGAAAGAAAAAAAAAAAAAAAAAAACTCCATACTTCGTGATTCGTAAAAATTAGAAGTTGTTAATTCATTCAAATATAAAATTTTAACAACGAGAAAGTACTAATGTGGACTTTTCATTCATGTGTGTGTACAGAGGAAATCAATGAACACAAGGTCCTAACAACCATGTAAGAGGTTCGGAAACTTGGAAGAATTGAAATGGAATAGACCAAACAGAGACAAAGTATGCTTTGCTATTTGTCACTTGTTTAAATCACAAGTCGTTTGACTAGAAAATATTGCCATATAGCAATTTGATATGAAGTGATAAGGTAGATTAAGGAAGGTTAAATTGAAGGTGTGATCTTTTTAATTTTTTCTATTTGAGTGTCTTTACTTTATTTTGTTACTAAATAAGCCCGATATTATTTTAAATTTAAAGTGTGATCCTTTTAATTTTTTATATTTGAGTGTCTTTACTTTATTTTGGCTATTTCATTATGTGATTTTTTAATTCTTTTCTCATCAAGTATTCTATTAAATTTCATCAAATGTACACTTACATAGCCGTTAAATTGATGTGTTAGCATGATGATATGTATATAAAATTTGCATGAACTTTATATTTTTTTATATATTTGTGTGTACATGCTTTTATTTTTTTCTAGTTGAATATGTGTACTTTTAAAATTTTATCAATAAAATGCTTCTAAATTTCACTTTCTCATGTATGTTATATTTGATCAACAAAATAGCAACAAAAATTTCTTCAAATTAAAATAAAATAAAAACAAAAGATGACTTGTCCAAATAAATAAATAAATAAATTGAAACGATTTTCTCTACTTTCTCATACGTGTACAAATCTCTACCTCTAATTTTAAGAGGTAAAAAAAGCTCAATTATTTTTTTAAAATTAATAATTTTAAATACAAATTCATTATACAAAAAAAGGTTGTTTTTCTTGTGTGTGTGTATTTATATAAAGCTTCAACAAAAACCTACATCTTTTTCGGTTCTTTTCTTGTTTTTTTATTTTTTTTTCTTGTCCAGCCAATATTTATGTTCCATACGAAATTATTTTTTTATGCCTTTTATTCTCATTTTTTAATAAATATTTATTACTAGTTAAATATATAATTTTATTTAACTTTATCAAATATGGTCGCCATATTGTAAGCATTCAATTGATAAATTTTAAAAAACAAAATAACTCAAATAGAAAAAATAAAATAAAAGAATATATACTTAAGTAAAAAAATAAAAATGCAAACACTCGATTTGATAAAAAAAAATGTAAAGTTGATGACCATTCGGTATACATGTCGGCATGATAATGTATTAATTTAACGATCATATCGGAAAAAAACTAAAAGAACTGGATGTGTAGCTGTTCATTTATTGTCATTACACACCCGATTCTCCTATTCATTAGATTTTCTTTGATTTGTTTTTTCTTTGTTCATTTTATTTTTTTGTGATTTTTTTTCCTTTGTTGTGCAAATTTGATTCGTTAAAGAGAGATAATGTAATTTGAATAACCAATGGATTATTGCCACATCATCAAATCTTATCTCCAAACATTTTTAATTCATCAAAACAAACAATCCCTCCCTCTCCTCTCTCTCGACTCACGTATCCGCAATTCGGTAAAAAAAGAAAAAATCTTGTTTTCTCATGCGTCTCCCTCTTTCTCTTGCTTTCGAATCTCATCTTTGCTTCCAATCTCCAATCGAAAATGGAAAGAGTGGCCGCGGAATATCCTCCACAAGTAGCCTAATTTAATTTATACAAAAACCTTTAAAATAAAAAATAAAAACCATCGGTTGTTGCGGTTGTAAAGCTTTCTCCCAATTCTTTATCCACCAATGATAGATCTTCTTCTTTTTCATCTTTTACGGATCAATTCCTCGTTAATTCGTATGGGGTTTTTTTGCAATCAACTCTTTCGGTTTCTAAAAACTTCCAAATCCATGAAAATAATCTCCAAAAGCCTCAATTTGTTCTCCAGTTCTTCAAAGCTCATGGCTTCAACAACACCCACTTAGGCAAATTTATCAAAAGACAATCAAGTTTCCTCAATTGCTGCTGTAGAAGGTAATCTCAAACCCGAATTTTATTTTTATTTTTCTTAGCTTTCATTATTGGCATGTGAGTTTGACTATGATTTTCATTTAGTTTGTTGTGAAACTTGGCTAGATTGGACTACCAAAATAATAGGTGATTCTACGCTCATTCTCGAATCTCTTTAAATGTATTGACTTATAGTGCTCGTTTAGTTGTATTTTGCTAATACACAAATAAATCATTTGATTTATGTAATAGTTTGATGGACGTCTTTGAAATTGTATATATTGTTTTTTTATTCTTTAATAGATTTTCTTAGTTTTTTAATCATTTTCTCTAACCGATGTTTCTTATTTATGCGCTTAGGTTACCGATAAATGTTGGACAATAGCGAGTTTTGTTAGGATCTTGTCAAAAAAAAAAAATTTAGATTTTTCTTTTTAATCATCCTCTCCCTTTTTAAAGGTCGTGATGAATTTATTGGTCATTTGCCAATCTTTTTCATTTTTTTTCCATTGTTGCCTTCGATGATAGAGAGTCAACAATAGGCTTGATTACTTTGAAGTAAATTTCATCACTATATTTTGGAATTGTTGGATATTTGATTTTTGACTTTTTTTTTTTGGATGGGTGATGTGATATTGGTGCCTTTGTTATTCTTTCTTGGTTAGTTTCTTTCTTGTTGCTTGTTTTTAGATTCTTTGGATTAATTTTGCAATGACCTCATGTTGTTATCTTTTATTTTTATTACCGTAACTTTCATGCTCGATTTCATTTCAAATGAACAAATAAAATGTGATCACATTCATTAAATGCATGCATATGAATGCTTTTCATATTTTTTTTCAGAGCTAATGAGATAACAAAAGATAATTGCATCCATTATAGCAGAATATGCCTCCTCATAGTCAATGTCAATTCTTTACGAAAACGTTTTCGTTAAAAGTTTTGCTTTGTATCTTACAATCTCATATTTCTTATTTCATTTTCACATAAATACATATTTGTATCCCACTA